AAGTTAGAGTAATGTAGGAAAGAGGGAAATTTTTTCCCAGTAAAAGTAGGCCTTAGGTAACAAGGATGTGTGATGTCACCGTGGTTGTTTAATATATTTTATAGATGGGGTTGTAAGAAGAAGTAATGCGAGGGTCCTTGCAAGAGGCGTGAGTTAAAAGATAAAGAATCACACACAAAGTGGAGATGTCACAGCTGCTCTTTGCTGATGAAAGACTGTGCTCTTGGGTGTTCTGAAGAGAAAGCTGCAGAGATTGGTGGATGAATTTTGGTAGGGTGTGCAAAAGAAGAAATTAAAGGTGATAACAGGAAAGAGTAAGTTATGAGGATACCAAAAAGAATAAGGTGATGAAAGATTGAATAACCGATGGAGGGAGAGAGTATGGAGGATGAACGTATTCAGATATTTGGGAGTGGACGTGTATCATAGCGATGGGTCTATTGAAAGAAGAGGTGAAATCATAGAATTGATGCGGAAAAAGATGAGTGGTGCACTTAGGGATCTGTTGGAGACAGAAGAACTTTGGGTCCTGGAGGCAAAGAGGGAATGTATGAGAGAATAGTTTACCAAAGCTCTTTATATGGGTGTGAAGCGTGGTTGATGAATGTAGCAGCGAGAGAAGGCTGGAGGCATGAGATGTCATGTCTGAGGGCAATGTGTGGTGTGAATATAATTGCAGAAATTCGTAGTTTTGGAAGTTAGGAGGAGGTGCGGGATTACCAAAACTTTGTCCAGGAGGGCTAGGAAGGGTGGAGGTGGTCGGACATGTAGAGAGAATGAGCGAAACAGAATGACTTCAAGAGTGTATCAGTCCTGTAGTGAAGGAAGGCGGGGTAAGGGTCGGCCTAGAAGGGTTGGAGGGAGGGGGTAAAGGAGGTTTAGTGTGCGAGGGGCTTTGACTTCACCGGCATGCGTGAGCGTGTTTGATAGGATTGAAATGGAGACAAATGGTTTTTAATACTTGACGTGCTGTTGGAGTGTGAGCAAAGTAACATTTATGAAGGAATTCAGGGAAACCGGCAGGCCGAACTTGAGGTCCGGAGATGGGAAGTACAGTGCCGCACTCTGAAGGGAGTTGTTAATGTTGCAGTTTAAAAACTGTTAGTGTAAAGCACCCTTCTGCAAGACAGTGATGGAGTGAATGATGGTGAAAAGTATTCTTTTGCGGGCCACCCTGCCGTGGAAGGGAACGGCCAGTGGTGATAATAAAAAAAATAAAAAAAAAATAATTATTATTATATTATTATAGGTAGTAGGTTGGTAAGACAACCACCCAGGGAGTACTACGTCCGCCTAGTGATAGTAAAAACGAAAGCCTGTAATTGTTTAACATGAATGGTAGGATTGCTGGTGTCTTTTGTCTGTCTCGATAAATATGCAAGATTACAGCATGCTTCTACTTCTACTTACACTTAGGTCACACTACACATACATGTACACGTTTATTTATACACACTCATCTGAGTTTTCTTTGATTTTATCTTAATAGTTCTTGGTCTTATTACTTTTCCTTTTATATCCATGGGGAAGTGGAATAAGAATCTTTCCTCCGTAAGCCATGCGTGTTGTAAAAGTCAACTAAAATCCCGGGAACAATGGGCTAGTAACCCCTTTTCCTGTAAAGATTACTAAAAAGAATAAGAAGAAAATTGTTGAAGTGGGAAGTCTGAATGTGCGTGGATGTTGTGCAAATGATAAGAAAGAGATGATTGTGGATGTTATGAATGAGAAGAAACTGGTGTCCTGGCTTTAAGTGAAACAAAGCTGAAGGGGGTGGGAGAGTTTCAATGGAGAGGAATAAATGGGATTAGGTCAGGGGTTTCAAATAGAGTTAGAGCTAAATTTAGAAGGAGTAGCAATAATGTTGAAGGATAAGCTATGGCAGGAAAAGAGGGACTACAAATGTATAAATTCAAGGATTATGTGGAGTAAAATAAAGATTGGATGTGAAAAGTGGGTTATAGTAAATGTGTATGCACCTGGAGAAGAGAGAAATGTAGAGGAGAGAGAGATTCTGGGAAATGTTGAGTGAATGCGTGGGGAGTTTTGAATCAAGTGTGAGAGTAATGGTGGTTGGGGATTTCAATGCTAAAGTGGGTAAAAATCTTATGGAGGGAGTAGTAAGTAAATTTGGGGTGCCAGGGGTAAACGTAAATGGGGAGCCTTTAATTGAGCTATGTGTAGAAAGAAATTTGGTAATAAGTAATACATATTTTATGAAAAAGAGGATAAATAAATATACAATGTATGATGTAGCACGTAATGAAAGTAGTTTGTTAGATTATGTATTGGTGGATAAAAGGTTGATGGGTAGGCTCCAGGATGTACATGTTTATAGAGGGGCAACTGATATATCAGATCATTATTTAGTTGTAGATACAGATAGAGTAAGAGGTAGATGGGAAAAGAGGAAGGTGGCAACAACAAGTAAGAGGGAGGTGAAAGTGTATAAACTAAGGGAGGAGGAAGTTCGGGTGAGATATAAGCGACTATTGGCAGAAAGGTGGGTTAGTGCGAAGATGAGTAGTGGGGGGGTTGAAGAGGGTTGGAATAGTTTTAAAAATGCAGTATTAGAATGTGGGGCAGAAGTTTGTGGTTATAGGAGGGTGGGGGCAGGAGGAAAGAGGAGTGACTGGTGGAATGATGAAGTAAAGGGTGTGATAAAAGAGAAAAAGGTAGCTTATGAGAGGTTTTTACAAAGCAGAAGTGTTATAAGAAGAGCAGAGTATATGGAGAGTAAAAGAAAGGTGAAGAGAGTGGTGAGAGAGTGCAAAAGGAGAGCAGATGAAAGAGTGGGAGAGGCACTGTCAAGAAATTTTAATGAAAAATAAGAAAAATTTTGGAGTGAGTTAAACAAGTTAAGAAAGCTTAGGGAAAGTATGGATTTGTCAGTTAAAAACAGAGTAGGGGAATTAGTAGATGTGGAAAGGGAGGTATTAGGTAGATGGCGAGAATATTTTGAGAAACTTTTAAATGTTGAGGAAGAAAGGGAGGCGGTAATTTCATGCACTGGCCAGGGAGGTATACCATTTTTTAGGAGTGAAGAAGAGCAGAATGTAAGTGTGGTGGAGGTATGTGAGGCATTACATAGAATGAAAGGGGGTAAACCAGCTGGAACTGATGGGATCATGACAGAAATGTTAAAAGCAGGGGGGGATATAGTGTTGGAGTGGTTGGTACTTTTGTTTAATAAATGTATGAAAGAGGGGAAGGTACCTAGGGATTGGCAGAGAGCGTGTATAGTCCCTTTATATAAAGGGAAAGTGGACAATAGAGATTGTAAAAAATTATAGAGGAATAAGTTTACTGAGTATACCAGGAAAAGTATACGGTAGGGTTATAATTTTTTTGAAAGAATTAGAGGTAAGACAGAATGTAGGATTGCGGATGAGCAGGGAGGCTTCAGAGTGGGTAGGGGATGTGTAGATCAAGTGTTTACATTGAAGCATATATGTGAACAGTATTTAGATAAAGGTAGGGAAATTTTTATTGCATTTATGGATTTAGAAAAGGCATATGATAGAGTGGATAGAGGAGCAATGTGGCAGATGTTGCAAGTATATGGAATAGGTGGTAAGTTACTAAATGCTGTTAAGAGTTTTTATGAGGATAATGAGGCTCAGGTTAGGGTGTGTAGAAGAGAGGGAGAGTACTTCCCGGTAAAAGTAGGTCTTAGACAGGGATGTGTAATGTCACCATGGTTGTTTAATATATTTATAGATGGGGTTGTAAAAGAAGTAAATGCTAGGGTGTTCGGGAGAGGGGTGGGGCTAAATTATGGGGAATCAAATTCAAAATGGGAATTGACACAGTTACTTTTTGCTGATGATACTGTGCTTATGGGAGATTCTAAAGAAAAATTACAAAGGTTAGTGGATGAGTTGAGAATGTGTGTAAAGGTAGAAAGTTGAAAGTGAACATAGAAAAGAGTAAGGTGATGAGGGTATCAAATGATTTAGATAAAGAAAAATTGGATATCAAATTGGGGAGGAGGAGTATGGAAGAAGTGAATGTTTTCAGATACTTGGGAGTTGACGTGTCGGCGGATGGATTTATGAAGGATGAGGTTAATCATAGAATTGATGAGGGAAAAAAGGTGAGTGGTGCGTTGAGGTATATGTGGAGTCAAAAAACGTTATCTATGGAGGCAAAGAAGGGAATGTATGAAAGTATAGTAGTACCAACACTCTTATATGGATGTGAAGCTTGGGTGGTAAATGCAGCAGCGAGGAGACGGTTGGAGGCAGTGGAGATGTCCTGTCTAAGGGTAATGTGTGGTGTAAATATTATGCAGAAAATTCGGAGTGTGGAAATTAGGAGAAGGTGTGGAGTTAATAAAAGCATTAGTCAGAGGGCAGAAGAGGGGTTGTTGAGGTGGTTTGGTCATTAGAGAGAATGGATCAAAGTAGAATGACATGGAAAGCATATAAATATATAGGGGAAGGAAGGAGGGGTAGGGGTCGTCCTCGAAAGGGTTGGAAAGAGGGGGTAAAGGAGGTTTTGTGGGAGAGGGGCTTGGACTTCCAGCAAGCGTGCATGAGTGTGTTAGATAGGAGTGAATGGAGACGAATGATACTTGGGACCTAACGATCTGTTGGAATGTGAGCAGGGTAATATTTAGTGAAGGGATTCAAGGAAACCGGTTATTTTCATATAGTCGGACTTGAGTCCTGGAAATGGTAAGTACAATGCCTGCACTTTAAAGGAGGGGTTTTGGGATATTGGCAGTTTGGAGGGATATGTTGTGTATCTTTATACGTATATGCTTCTAAACTGTTGTATTCTGAGCACATCTGTAAAAACAGTGATAATGTGTGAGTGTGGTGAAAGTGTTGAATGATGATGAAAGTATTTTCTTTTTGGGGATTTTCTTTCTTTTTTGGGTCACCCTGCCTCGGTGGGAGACGGCCGACTTGTTGGGGAAAAAAAAAAAAAAATTATACATCCTAGACATCCTACCTTTTGTATTATATTGGGCATTAGTGTAATCTTAATTTTAGATGTGCGGCGAAAGACCATCTATGAGTATCACAAAATCGACATGAAGAAGAATCCCATGATCGGTAACTGGACAGCAATTGTGTTTAAAGCTCTTCCAACCTGTGTGTCACTCACCAGCTGCAATGACTGTTTATCTCAGAAGATCAATTTTCAGGTAACTGATGTCTTTTTTATGTTAAGTGTCATACAGTCTTTCCTACAAATTCACTGGTTTTTCCATGTTTGTGGATTGTGGCTGTCCAGTGTTTTAACCCTTTCAGGGTCCAGAGGCGAAATTTCAAAGTGTGTACCAGGGTCCAAGAATTTTCAAAAAATAATTTTGTTATTTTTTCTTATGAAATGGTAGAGAATCTTTTTCTGAAGGTAAAAAAATAAAAAAGTACGAAATTTGATGGAAAAGTGACAAAATTATGCTCTTGCGAATTTTGATGTGTCAGCGATATTTACGCATCGGCGATTTTACCATCTTTGACTCCTATTTTAGGCCAATTACAGTATTCCAGTCAACCAAATTCTGAGCTATTTCACTAGTATTACTTCTATCGATTGAGCACAAGAAATCACCAAGTCAGCTTTTTCAACAACAAAATAAAGTGACTGGAAATTGGTAATTTGGCCAATTTAATGCAAAGCTCAAAATATTCTAATTTTAAAATAAAGTCCAGAATAAACAGTGCAGGAATTCCTGGCACTAAACTAACATTTCCTCTGTTCATTAGTTACATTTTCAGGCTTTACAAATGAATTCCATTTTGATTTTTTAGAAGATTTACTGTTATGTAATAATTGTATAAATAATATCATCACATTTGTGAATATATATTAGACCCACCAGCTGTCATGTATTAGACTTGTGAGGTCATTTGTTTACTCTTGAATATTGGCAAAAATTTAACATTTCTGTTACTTTGAGCTCAGTTTCAAGCCATTTCCACTACTAAAACCAATCAAAATCATCTCTATTTCTGTAGTATATCTTCCATTCTATCAAATGAGACCAAGAAATTGCAGATACAATTATAAAAAACATACGAGAAAACACTGCAAAGTCGCTGTTTTAATCGAAAATTATGGTCTCAGTTTTTTTTCTCTCACTATGCACTGTGTGCTGCAGGATTTGTTTTATGTGGTGCACACATACCACATAGATGTATTCTCTCATATCTAGGCCTAAATTTACCGCTCACAGCTTATCAGAGTGAGCTGAGCTCATGGTGTAGATCTATACGGTTTGGACCCTGAACGTAAAGCTGTAGATCTACGACACTGACCCTGAAAGGGTTAAATGAAGGGTGCCCCATGGCCTGGTGGCGAAAGCTCTCGCTTCACACGGCAAGGGTCCAGGTTTGATTCCCAGCGAAGGGGTGGAAACATCAGACGTGTTTTCTTGCACCGGTTGTCTATGTTCGCCCATCAGTAAAATGTGTAGACCTGGGTGTTAGTTGACTTGTGTAGGTTGCATCCTGGGACAAAACTGACCTACAGTGGACCCCTGGATTTTGTAGTCATTGGATTTCACAATATTCGGAAATAGTAACATTTCTTTGTCAAAATATTGGCTCGGTGATCGTCATTGAGCTTGGTAACAGTCATTCGTCCCGAACACATCTGCATGGCAACAGTGGCCCGACACTCAGTGTGCCATTGTTTATCAGCCAGTAAGCACGATCCCATGTGTTCATATGATACATTTCATATTATTCCATTCTTTTTAGTGCTTGCAACTGCTAAATAAGCCACCATGGGCCCCAAGGAAGTTCCTAGTGCTAGCCATCTCTTTGGTAAAGGGCTGAGAGAGAGGGGAGAATGTGCCTTCTTCAGTGATTCTGTGACATGTACGATACTAAAGCAGCAGGAGTTGATAAAGGCTATAGTGCCAGCCAGCGATAAAGTGTAGCATTAACAGTGTAGCAAGTAAGTTAAGTTATTAATTGATAGAAAAAGGACAGCACGAAACTGACTCCTCTAATGTTGTTGGAGGTATATATGGCTACTGAAAACACTTCCGCCTTCACCACCACTACTTAAGGCTTATCTTTCAGTGGCCCTTATACACCCATCAACATCAGCACATCATCACTTGCCATATACACCTACCATCCGACTTACGACTGAGTTCGGTTCCGAGAAACTTGTCGTAAGTCGAATTTTACTACTGAATATCAACAAAACATTTTTGTAATGACTTTATTTTATTGTTTTATTTGGTATTTCATGTTTTACTTTACTTTTTATGCTGTTAGTACTGTATTTTATACTGTAAGGTTTACGATAAACACTGTGTACAACACAAATAGTTGTTTATTTCCCAGAAATTTGGCATAAAAATCAAGGTCGTAAGTCGAGTGGTCGTAAGTCGAGCAGGTCGTAAGTCGGATGGTAGGTGCACATAATAACGTATTTTATTTATTCTAGAGTATATATCATGTTTCTATGTTATTAATATTGTTTATTATGTCTTTTTTTTTTTTTTTTTTGAACAAGTCTGCCGTCTCCCACCAAGGCAGGGTGACCCAAAAAGAAAGAAAATCCCCAAAAGGAAAATACTTTCATCATCATTCAACACTTTCACCTCACTCACACATAATCATTGTTTTTACAGAGGTGCCCAGAATACAACAGTTTAGAAGCATTTTTTTTTTTTTAACAAGTCGGCCATCTCCCACCGAGGCAGGGTGACCCAAAAAAGAAAGAAAATCCCCAAAAAGAAAATACTTTCATCATCATTCAACACTTTTACCTCACACATAATCACTGTTTTTGCAGAGGTGCTCAGAACACAACAGCTTAGAAGCATATACCTATAAAGATACACAACATATCCCTCCAAACTGCTAATATCCCTAACCCCTCCTTTAGAGTGCAGGCATTGTACTTCCCATTTCCAGGACTCAATTCCGGCTATATAAAAATAACCGGTTTCCCTGAATCCCTCCACTAAATATTACCCTGCTCACACTCCAACAGCTCGTCAGGTCCCAAATACCATTCGTCTCCATTCACTCCTATCTAACAAGCTCACTCACGCTTGCTGGAAGTTCAAACCCCTCGCCCACAACATCACCTTTACCCCCTCCCTCCAACCTTTTCGAGGATGACCCCTACCCCGCCTTCCTTCCTCTACAGATTTATATGCTCTCCATGTCATTCTACTTTGATCCATTCTCTCTAAATGACCAAACCACCTCAACAAACTCTCTTCAGCCCTCTGACTAATACTTTTATTAACTCCACACCTTCTCCTAATTTCCACACTCTGAATTTTCTGCATAATATTTACACCACACATTGGCCTTAGACAGGACAGGACAGGACAGACTATGGAACGATACTCTTCTCCAGACTGAAGGACTGACCACCTCAAAACTTCTAGGGTGATGGACTAATTACATTGTCTTCACATCTCTTCTATCAACTGTTCTGTACTCGACCAAAGAAGCCTTCTGTGTAGGCGAAACGTTTCAAAATAAAGCTACCTAATTGTTGCATATGTGTCTTGCCTAACAACCTGTCGGTATTTTATACCATTTTAACCCGTAAACGGTCCAAACGTATATATATGTTTTTTCAACATTTGAAAGTATGTAAAAAAAGTAGATCTTCTTTTCGTTTTTCTACATTTGAAAATGTGTAAAAAAAACTTTGATCTACTTTTTTTTTGTGTGTTATATTTGAAAATATGTAAAAAAAACTTAGATCTACTTTTGTAGCACTACACATGTGAACGTAGATCTGCTTGGACCGTTTACGGGTTAATATCAACGATGGTGACATTACACATCCCTGTCTAAATCCCACTTTTACCGGGAAGTAGTCTCCCTCTCTTCTACACACATGTACATACATGTACACACCCCTCTGGGTTTTCTTCTATTTTCTTTCTAATTTTTGTTCTTGTTTATTTCCTCTATCTCCATGGGGAAGTAGAACAGAATTCTTCCTCCGTAAGCCATGTGTGTTGTTAGAGGCAACTTAAATGCCAAGAGCAAGGCGCTAGTAACCCCTTCTCCTGTATAAATTACTAAATTTAATAAGAGAAACTTTTGTTTTTCTTTTTGGGCCACCCTGCCTCGGTGGGATACAGTCAGTTTGTTGAAAAAGAAGAAATAAATAACCAACTAAATCTGTACTTTCTGATGTCCTAAGTGATTGAAACATTCCTAAAGAATTTTTAATTAGTGATGATAAAACACATTCATGATTGGTTTAATGTATATAGTATATATTTTTAGTTTGTACATTGTGTACCAAAAAATAATAATTATTATATCTGTCTTCATGCTCGAGCATTGACAGTATAAATTTTGATACTGCATAATTTTGTATTTATGGATTCAAGATTCTGGGACCACTAGGAATGTAACACCTGTATTTTTTTTATTTCATTGCATTAATATGTTGGTAATATAATTCTTAATCAAATACTTAATGTTGCTTTTTATAGTGCCAATGGTGCAGCATAATTGGACGCTGTAGCAACGGACTGGATCGACACAGACAGGAGTGGCTGAAAAATGACTGCGAGTCCCTCCATATTCAGAACGTCGAAAATTGTGCTGTAGTTTCTGAGAGTCCCACCACTGTGAACACCTTTGGTCATGATGCTAATGTTGAGCCTTATAGTAAAGGTTTGTATGCAGATTGGTTATTTTTCTTGTGCTGGAAATAAGTTTGTTTGACCTTTAAAAAATTAAAAAGTTGTGTGTGGCATTTTGAAGTGATGTATGTGCATGTAGTTTGTTTCTGTAGGTCTTTCTGCTTGGAATTTGGTAATGGCATCAACCAAGTTTTCATTGAAACTTTCGTATTTTGGTTGTTGATAAACATTGGTGATTTGAGAATCGAAGATTATTTGAAAGATGTAATAGCATTTAAGAGTCATTAATTTGAATTCACTAGATCTGGAAGGTGGAATATATTTAACACTGGTAATTTTGGAAATATATGTTGCTAAATAGCACATTTTTTTCTTATAACCTAATCTAAGGAAGTACAATATTTCAAGGAAATAAACTAATGTAAAAGTTTGCAAGGAATATTCATGAGCAACATATACTAGTTCTGAAAGATATATGATAGTGGTCTCATTCAATTTATTTCAGAATGAGGAAACAAACCTAACCAAAATTGAATGGTTTCATGGAAGGTTCTGGAGGGTTGTAAAAAAAAAAAAAAAAAAAAAAAAAGTTTGAGTCATTATAGACAATTTGCCATTTCAGAAACTTTCATGCATTTAACTAAGCTGCAAATGAAAATGTGAAGGCAAGAAAGGAGGAAAAAAGAAGCTTTGAACAGAGGAATAGTGGACAAGAGTCAGACGTAACCAAATCTTTTATTCAAGTTTAAAAAAAAAATCAGCATGAAAAACAGTACGAATACGTAAACAAAAATAAAAATCACTGAAATAGAAGATAAAATGTGACATGCCAGATATGAAGTTGAGTGTGTGTTGGCAGAAGAGGAAACCTTGAATACAGCAGTTTTAAATACCAAACAGCAAAATAAAATGGAGGATAATTAGGTACTACGTAATACAGGTGCACATCCGTTCATCTGAAACCCTTGGGACCTGTATTGTTTCAAATTTCAGACTTTTTTTGAATTTCAGAAAGATTCTCAATGCCGCCACATGGCAGCGTGACCCAGCACGGACATGACTGATGCTCCACACTCCATGAAAAAACTTCAGTTTTCGAAACTTTTCAGATTTCAGAATTTTGGATAAAGGGATGTGGACCTGTATTAACAAAAATAAGGCAATATGATCAATCATAATTGCATCATTGATCTTCAGAGAACATGTAGACGGTTGGATTATTGTGAAAGTCTTTGGGATTGTTGCAGGAAGGTAAACAGGCTGACATGAAAGATGGCTTACATTGACCTGATGTTAAAAAAGGTGACAGAAAATTATGAAGATTCTAAACTAAGGGCCTGTCATATTAACAGGCATTGTAAAACTGCTGGAAAAATAATTAAAAAAAGTGGATGAAATGAGAGTAAAATAAAATGGTTTGTTAATTTAGAGAGGATAGAGCAAAATAGGATGACTTGGAGGGTGTATAAATCTGTAGTTGAGGGGGGAGGGGAGGGGTCATCCTTGGAGAGGATGGAGGGAGGGGGAAAGAGATTTTTGTATGCAAGGGTCTTGGACATATAGCAGGCATGTGTAAGTGTATTAGATAGGAACAAATGGAGATGAATGGTTTTGGGGACTTGACAAGCTGTTGGAGTGTGAGCAGGATAATATTTTGTGAAGGGATTCAGAGAAACCAGTTAGTTGGACTTGAGTCCTGGAGGTGGGAAGTACAATGCTTGCACCTTCAAGGAGGGGTTTGGGATATTTGCTGTTTGGAGTGACACCTGAACTGTCGTATCTGAGCGCCACTGCAAAGATAGTGATTATGTGTGAATGGTGGTGAAGGTGTTTCTTTTTTTGGGTCACCCTGCCTCAGTGGGAGACAGATGACTTGTTAAAAAAAAGACTATTAACAATCCTCTATACAAAATTCATTAAACTACAACAACAGAGCCACAGCAATTATTCAAGAACATTGTGGGTTTAGCATTTAATTTTGATTGAAATAATATTAAAGAAAAAATTTATAAGCAGACTACATTTCTTTAGATTTTTAGAAGGATTTTGTTAGAATTCCTGGTGAGAGACTAATTTAGAAATTGTAAAATCAATGGGATATAAAATGCAAACATTGCATTGGATGCAATTTTTCTTCTTTGGAAGGAAAATACAAGCAGCAAAGCATTAAAATCCCCTTGTGGACTAATGCCACTAGCAGATTACTGCAAAGATTGGTGCTTGCCTTGAACAAGCAGTCACAGTTTTTAACTAGAAAAACAGGGTACTGAAGGGATACTAGAACATTTTTCTTCACAGAATGATAGATCAGTGGAATGGAATACAAAAGGAAGCAAGTCGTGCAGCTACTGCAAATTTGAAAATGCTGTTTGATTAAACAGTGAAGATGTGACAGCATGAGCATAGCTCTCTCCCTGTAGCTACAAGCAGGTAATCACATCAGTGCCATATATTTCCATAATAACTTCTTAATTTATTAGATTCAGGGTATTTTAATATAGATAAATTGTTTAAATCGGTTAGCCGGACTTGAGTCCTGGAGGTGGAAAGTACAGTGCCTGCACTCCAAAAGAGGGGTTTGGGATATTTACTGTTTGGAGGAACATCTAAGATTTTTATGGCAAAACAGTGATAATGTGAATGATGGTGAAAGTGTGTGCTTTTTGGGCCACTCTGCCTTGGTGGGAGACGGCCAGTGTGTGTAAAAAAAAAAATTAACTTTTGGATTACTTTTGTAAAAATCTCAGATCTTGGATAATTACGAAAGATAAATTGTAATTAGGATTTCCAGTTTATTGTTTGATTTTTGTAGAATATTGTGGAATGAAACAACTTCAGTTGAGCCAATCAGGAAATACTGTAGTACAGTGACAGTTGCATGATTTCAGAAAACAGTCACTGACTGTCTCTCCTCACAGGCTCAGTGTCTTCCTCAACCACTAACAACATCATCAGCAGCAGTAAGAGAAGAAGCAGCCTTCCTAGCCAGGATACCTGTACCAACCTACCACCTCCTCACCTGCCTCTTAATTCCACTAATGCCTCTGCTATTTTCTCTGCTTGTAACATTACTGATATTTTCAAACATGCCACTTCTTATAACCTCCCTAATATTCAAGCATCTTCTTTTCCATCTTTCTTTCCGACATCATCTTTTCTTCCATCTTTGCCTCTCTTCTGGATGCTTCAGACAAAATTATTGTATCAGATGAGGAGTCTGATAGATTATCACTCGCATCAGTGAGAGGTAGAGTTTGTTAGCATGGTGGCTTAGTGCATCATAAATGTAGAGCTTACTGTTGTCAAATCACATGTTTCTATGTGAAGTACATTCTCAAAACTTTGTTGATGTGGAAAAAAAATCTGAGTCCTGCTGTATCTACCTCTGTCCTTTGGAAATAATAAGCATGTGATTGAATTTATACTCTTAAATGTTTAATATTCTTATAAATTTAGATTGGTTATGTACCAGCTGCATGTTTCATTTCTTTTACCCAATAAATTTTGCTTTAGTAATGCAATAACGGATGGATGCTTCCCATCTTATGGAACACCTATTGTCTGTATATCCTCATATGAGAAGCTGCAAGAGAGTAAAACAATGCCAACATCAGAAATGTGATAAAAGAAAGTCTTAAAACATTATGTATGAATTATTCAAAAAAAGAACATGGCAGCTTATTTCACTTCCATACTTGTCTTAAGGCTTTTTTTTTTAATCAATGTTGATGTTGTTACTTGCTTACAGTGTTGCTTTATAAGATGATTCTTCAGATATGTAAATTCTAATCCTGCTGCTCTGACTTTCAGATAAAAGTATACTTAAATTAAATGCTGTAAAGAGGTTTTATGAGGATAGTGAGGCTCAGGTTAGGGTGTGTAGAAGAGAGGGTGTGGAGTTAATAAAAGTATTAGTCAGAGGGCAGAAGAGGGGTTGTTGAGGTGGTTTGGTCATTTAGAGAGAGTGGATCAAAGTAGAATGACATGGAAAGCATATAAATCTATAGGGGAAGGAAGACGGGGTAGGGGTTGTCCTCGAAAGGGTTGGAGAGAGGGGGTAAAGGAGGTTTTGTGGGCAAGGGGCTTGGACTTCCAGCAAGCGTGCGTGAGTGTGTTAGATAGGAGTGAATGGAGACGAATGGTACTTGGGACCTGACGATCTGTTGGAGTGTGAGCAGGGTAATATTTAGTGAAGGGATTCAGGGAAACCGGTTATTTTCATATAGTCAGACTTGAGTCCTGGAAATGGGAAGTACAATGCCTGCACTTTAAAGGAGGGGTTTGGGATATTGGCAGTTTGGAGGGATATGTTGTGTATCTTTATACGTATATGCTTCTAAGCTCTTGTATTCTGAGCACCTCTGCAAAAGCAGTGATAATGTGTGAGTGTGGTGAAAGTGTTGAATGATGATGAAAGTATTTTCTTTTTGGGGATTTTCTTTCTTTTTTGGGTCACCCTGCCTCGGTGGGAGACGGCCGACTTGTTGGGAAAAAAAAAAAAATTATGGTTGTATTCTCGTTTCCTTGGTGGTCTCATTTGATAGAATGGAAGATATATTACAGACATAGAGATGATTTTGGTTGGTTTCAAGATGAAAAGTACCTTGCAGTTGAGCTCAAAGTAGCAGAAATGTTAGATTTTTGCTGATCAAGAGTAAACAAATCACGCCACAAGTCCAATACATATCAACTGGTGAGTCTGATATTCTTTCACAAGTGCGCTGATGTTATTTATATCATTTTTACAATAATGCAGTAGTCTGCATGACAGTAAATCTATTTTTTGTGGGACTAAAAATTCAAAATAGAAAGCAAGAGTAATATAAGAGGGGCCTGGAGACATGACTAATGAACAGAGAAAATGTTATTTTAGTGCCAGGAATGTCTAGTTTATTCTGGACCCAATTTTGAAATTGCCATCTTTTGAAATTTGTGTGAAATTGGCCAAATTGCCAATTTCTGACCACTTTATTTGTAGTTGAAATTGGTAAATGGGCAGTTTCTGGTACTCAGTCGATAGAGCAAATGGAG